AGATGTACTTGTAGGGAAAGTTCCCCCATCTTTATACAAAAAATACACTGAAGTGTTTTATAAAATGCCTTAATAAGCCCCACTTGCCGTTGTATAGTACATAATAATGTCATTGCTGGTCATGTTGCCATGAAGAATGTGTTCCTTCAGATGCTGTATTAGTGTACCCTGAAAAAAAACAATGAAAGAAAAATATAAGTTCACATAAATGAAAAACAAAACTCACAGCACATTAAGACTTAAAAACAACCCTGGTGTTGTCAATCCTTCACAGGATGTACTCCAGGATTACAGGCAAGTATTTTCTTTTAACCACAGCTGAAGTAAATCCCAGGGCCTATCTGCAGCAGCAGCAATTGCATTCTCCATTTTCTCACATAACTTTTCAGCCTCTCTCATTACAACTCAGCAATTCCCATGGCACATCACTTGTAATCCATGGAATAAATAACTTCCTCCACTTCCAACTCTGCCCAGACATCAGAGCTGCTGAGTACTCCACACAGGCTATAGTATTAACAGCATGCTTTTACCAGTCAGATTTTCCAAGAAGATAAACTCTTTGACAGAGTTTAATTTTGAGTATATCTAGGCAACTGGGAAGAATGAAGGACCTAGAGCTGCTATACACCACAGCAGTTGTTACACATAAATGCTATTTATTCAAACAATCTTATCTGTTAGCACACAGGAGACTAAAGACTAACTCTGCACATCTCTTGGAAACACTGAAGTGACTAGTAATGTGAAAATCTCACTGTTCAAAGCATTGATATTAACAATGCTTTAGTTAAATATATTACCTCCTTTTCTGCTTGGTTGGAAATGCTGCTGAAGTACCTTTCTGATCATCATTAAAGCATAATTTGTTAGGATAAATAAATTCACAAACTACTTCACTAGGTCACTTGACTGCAGTGACAAATTAATGTGATTGATTTTAAAATAAAGGTGGTTTTTGCATTTATGCAAGGAGTGATAGTTGCACTATTAAGAGCCTCATAAGCATGAAACAAGATTTACATGGAAAGAAAATAGATTAGAGATAAACATTTGAAATGAAAAAGGAGAGCCATAAAACTGGCACATGCTTCAGGAGAAAAGGCAGAAAAACATTAAATAAAAATAAAGGAGTAAATCTTGCTTTCTCTTTGCAACTCAAAGGACCCAGGTCTGAATTCACCTGCTCCTGTATGACTACTCGAAGCTGTCCCAATGCTGCCACCTACCTACAGCTACTATTACCAACAGCTAAAGATTAAAAAAAAATATATATATTTGGGGTCTAGAAGCACTGTGCCTAACTTAACTGCTAAGGCTGCCAACAGAATTGCAGGTGTTAACACTATTATTCCATTTCTAAAAGAAAGCACATTGCCTCTGCAGGAGAGCCTGAAAAAGGCACACAAAGTACTGAAATTAAAAGTCAAATTCAATTAAAATATTTGCTTTCTCTTTCCTCCATTTAGCTGTTGCTATTCCACAGTTTGGGAACCAAAGTTTTTAACACTGACTTTAGGTAGAGGCTATCAACTACTCCCCTGAAAAAGAAAAAAATCAGTAACTCAGTCTGGAAGCAGAGGTACCCTGGTAGAAGGCATAGCTGTTCTGAAGAGCTAATGGCCCAAGATGCTCTCTCAAGTTTATTTATAGGTTTGTTTATTTATAGGATTTGCATGACCCTCAAAATAAATCCTGAGCATTTCACATTTCCTGACACAGATCTGGCAGCTGATAAAAGCTTACTGGCTTGTCTTCATTTGGCTTAACACACGGCTGGTAAAAGTGCTGAGCATCTGGAGTGTCAAAAAACCAGCAGGCACTGCTGCTCCTGAGCCACACCTCCAGCATGCAAGGGACCAGCACCAGGCAGTCACACAGCTCAGAGTGAGCAGCTACTACTCACAGCTGCTGCTCCTGGTCTCAAACCAGCATTCAGAAAGAGTCCAGCATTCTGTGGAAGAATGGCTGTTGTAGCCCAGGTCTTGGGCATCCTTAAGATGGATAGAAAGGAACTGATGGGGATTTTATAAAAAAAATTCTCTCCTTAGGTACTTTGGAGTATGGAGTAACTGAAAAGAGGCCTGTATGAACGAGGTAAGAAGCAGAATCAATATTTTCAGGACTTCAGAATAACAATTACTCACTAATGTTTTTCAAGTATTAGAAAGAACCCTCCGAATAGATTTCTGTGGCACACCCAATTGCTCAACATGATACAGCTTTGCTCCCAAGACTAGAAAAATCTTCCTCCCTCTGAGGAACTGCTTTTGAAATCATCTCCCATCACCTGGCTTCATTTTCATTATTTAGAGATGTTATTTCACTCTGTCAAGAAAACAGAATATGTGCAGGTAAACTAGGCCAGAAACACAGTGCAGAGTTAGATACACTGAGTTGTGAATGTAACAAACTGCCTATTAGCATCTATAAGATCAGTACAGGAACAAACAGGCACTGAAGCACACTGCAAATAAGCAGTAACTGAAATGCCTTTACTGAAGTCTCATCTCTCCTTGTGTTTAAGTATCAAATCCAGACTTTGGATAGTCTGAGCCTGGAAAAAATGAGACAGAGCATGGGCTAATTCGTAAACTAGGCCAGAAACACAGTGCAGAGTTAGATACACTGAGTTGTGAATGTAACAAACTGCCTATTAGCATCTATAAGATCAGTACAGGAACAAACAGGCACTGAAGCACACTGCAAATAAGCAGTAACTGAAATGCCTTTACTGAAGTCTCATCTCTCCTTGTGTTTAAGTATCAAATCCAGACTTTGGATAAAAAAAAATGAGACAGAGCATAGGCTAATTCTGCTTTTGTTGAAATCAAAGAAAATCCTCCTATTAATTACAGTGGAAACAAGATTAAGCCAAGAACAAACAGAGAAACCCAACCAAGTGTGCAGAAGACATCTAAGAATTTCTTTGCATGGATTCTATTTGCAGGTTCTATTCAAACTGACATGCACAAAGCATACAAAACAAGGAAGCCTTTGATGTAACAATTTGCTTTTAGACCAGTCCACAGAGGTGTTAGTACCAGGATCACTGTGCAATACAGGACCCACAGAGCTGCTCCATGGGAACACAGAATCCTCACACCTAACATCCTATTCAACAAAGCAGCACATTCTCCCCCCAGCAAGGACAAGTAGCCTGTACCTAAACACTCAGGTAGCTCTGTGTGAACTGAAAAGATGATTCAGATGGAGAGCAGAGGGATGATTGTGGGCAAGCTAAGCAGCAACACCAGTAACACAGGAAGAGAAAAGTTTGCAAGGTAGAAAAGTCTTGTTGTCTGATCATGCAAGCTGAACAAAACACCTTCCCTGTTTTTGCTAATCCATCTCTGCAAGTATTTAACCAGTCTAAGGCCAGCACAGCTTCAAAACAGCTGTCAAACTTCAAAATATATCTTCCTCCTTTCTTCAACAGAGTTTGTGTCCCAAAGGGACATTTTGTGTGTCACATGCTGCCTGGTATGACCTGTTGATAATATATAAAGGAAAATGTTTACAGGCAGCATGGGATTTGTCTGTGGGCAAATCCTCCAGTCTTTGCCATCAAAGGGGGGCAAGAATTGGCATCACAAAGTCATCCTGCCCTCAGGCTACCTAGACAACTCTACAGCAAGTATTGCAAGATGCTCACAGTAACACAGGAAGAGAAAGAAGTTTGCAAGGTAGAAAAGTCTTGTTGTCTGATCATGCAAGCTGAACAAAACACCTTCCCTGTTTTTGCTAATCCATCTCTGCAAGTATTTAACCAGTCTAAGGCCAGCACAGCTTCAAAACAGCTGTCAAACTTCAAAATATACCTTCCTCCTTTCTTCACCAACAGAGTTTGTGTCCCAAAGGGACATTTTGTGTGTCACATGCTGCCTGGTATGACCTGTTGATAATATATAAAGGAAAATGTTTACAGGCAGCATGGGATTTGTCTGTGGGCAAATCCTCCAGTCTTTGCCATCAAAGGGGGGCAAGAATTGGCATCACAAAGTCATCCTGCCCTCAGGCTACCTAGACAACTCTACAGCAAGTATTGCAAGATGCTCATCCTGACTCACAGCAAATAGCAGAAATAATGGACACTGGCTAATAGTTGTGCAGCTTAGTTTGCACAAGTTGGTACAAATGTGTCACACATTTTGCCTGTCTCAAGGTGAAAAAGTCCTGATTTTTGTAAAGGACTAAAGTAATGGCAGACTGCCCAACTGCTGGAGTCATTTCCTCAACTGTAATAGGTTGCCTAGAACTTTTATAACATGAATAGTAAATGGAAAGCATGTAAGCATGGGTGACTTTGCCAGCAGTGTTATATATACACCTTTAGTCACAAGAAGATACTGCCTACAGCAAAGCTTCCATACAAAGCAAAACCCACACCTAGACAGCTAACCTTCTGGCTTCCTTCCCTAAAAGATTGATGAGGATGGCAGGTACTGAACTGATAAGCATAGGGAGTTAAGTTGAAGGTCAAAAACTTCTAGCTAACGAAAATTACAAGCTCCCTGTGGGCCTCAACTTGACAGCATCCAAAAATCTGTTCCAAATACCCAGTCCAGGTTCTTTGGCCTCTCTCCTCCAACTATCAGTCAGGACAGCTCTACTAGTGCTTTTGTGACTGACTTGCTCCCAGGAAATAGCTAAAATCTGAAAAGTCTCCACACTAATCTCTAAACCAAATTATTTAATATCCTTAGTAATCCATATCTGCTTTCAAACAGTCAAATGCAAAGTTTAATTGCAAGATATTGAAAAAAATATCAATTTTTCCTTAAAAGTACATCATATGATACTGTTAAAGAAAAAAGTAATCCAGGTAGTTAAACAGAGGAAGAGCAGCTCCAGGAGGGAGGACATACCCCTGCTGAATGAACCATGCACTTCGGTGCCCCTGTAGTGCCCGATGAGTACATGATGAAGAGAGGATGACTGAAAGGCAGCTGTTCAAACTCCAGCTGGGGGGCCTGGTCTCCTTTCCCAGTAGCAAGAAAATCTTCTAAAAAGACACTGCATAAGAGGGGAAAAAGGAACATTTCAAGAAGATTTTTAAAGCATTACCCCAGCCCATATCTAGGATTACCATTGTATCTAATAGCTCTTTTACAATAAGCTATAAACTATGTATATTTTTCTCTAGTCCTAGTCTTTCTACTCTGAGCTGCTAACCAATTTGCTTCCTTCTTCTGGTTTAAAATAAAACATCAGTATAACATTGAGATGTAACATGTCAAAATCAAGCCTATAAATCTGCACCTATGACAGGCTGCCAGTCTTAACAGCTCAAAACAGACTGAAGCAATGTCAGCCTCAACACAGTCTGGAACTCAACCATTTCCAAAAGGTACCTAACAAACATAATCCACACCAGTAAATAAGCAAAGCAAATGATCTCTAAAAATGCTACTTAATTATTCATTTCTGGAAGCCACTTTCTTCTCCCTGCTACATCCTATCAAATTTTGCCTTCATTTGAAAACCATTAATACCAACAGTCATTTTATAGAAGCAAAACATCTGCAGCAACACTGTGCTGTTTTCAGTGTGAAGCTGGACCCACGAAGAGATCTGGCTAAACCCTAGCTTTTGAAAGTGCAAGAGGACAGGCAGTTTCAATAACTGTCAGCAGCCATCTCATCCCTAGTCAGGGCAGTCACAGCTCACAAGCTCCCATTACCTGTTTGGAATCCTAGAAATATCTATGGTTTCTCTTGAGGAGACATATGGAATCACCACCACTTTTTTCAGATCTGGAAGCCCTGGAAGAAAAAATAATTTCCTACATTTAGTTACATAAACTGAAGGTCTTTTCTGTCTGATGGATCATACAGTGACTAAGTAACAGAAATAGTTCTGTTGCATCAAGTATTGGATAGAGTTTTAAATGTTAAGAAAGCCCAAAAGGGAATATTACCAACCATCTGAAAATATGTGTAAATCTGCAAGCTTTAGTGCTCTAATACCTCTTCATTTGTCTTCAGCAGCACTTCACTTGGACATAGGAAAAACTATCAGTTCCTGTTCCACCACTTATACTGCTGACTAATTTATGATGATATATTCTAGCTAAGCTGGCAGAAGACTGCTAGAATGACACAAAAGACTGGTTTGCTTTTACTCAAGTCAGTTCTGAAATTTTAAGTGGCCACAGAGATACCATAAAGGAGGAAGGACTGCAATGAGCAGTCAGGAGTGTTACATTTAGCAGCAGGGCAGGTTTTGAGTGCATAACTGAGACTAGATGATATACAGTGAAATACCTTTTACCACACTGAGCAGCTTTTCCAAGTGGTTATGTTCTTTGCCATTGTATATAACAGCTTCAACAGAAAAGATGAGTTTAGGCTGAATTTGGGAAAATCTGTCCAGTACACCCTAAGGACAAAGAAAAAAGTTTTTAAAAAAAATGTAATTAATTGCTACAGTAGAAAACCCACTGGATGCTAAAAGCAAATCTCAGTTCAAAGAAGGAATACAGACAATATTCTCCTTAGATGGAGAACTGTTTTTAAAAGACTACCTGCTTCTTTTTCACTCACCCAATACCTTCAAAGTACAACACGCTTGTAACAATCCATTTCATGACCCCCAAATATATCAATCAATAACAAAGATAAAATCACCAGACATCACAGAACATCATTTACTGAAGGATCAAGTTCACAAAGCTAGCTAAGAAGCTGAAAATTCGTCTTGAGAATCAGACTTACAAACCCATCTCAAGAGGATAAGCACCTGTGAGGTGAGCAGGAGGTAATTTACTTGAAGGTCCCCAGGACTCCTGTCCCATCTGTGGGCAGGTGTTCTGGGTGCCCTTGCAAACTGCCCCCGACACTGCTTGGACAATGTCCCAGTAGTTTCATCATCTATATGGGGGGAAAAAAGGGGCAAAGACCAGTCTTCTAGAAGATACATTTATCATATGCCAAGGTAGCACTTCACATGAACAGGCAGCTTTGTTCTGCTACGATGAACAAAGGAAACTGTACCACTGATTTTTACCAGAACAACTAAATATTTTAAGAACACATATATACAACCAACAAAACACTATCACAGATCCTTTAAATCCTCTGGGGCAGGACACATTCAAATGCTAAATTTTCTGGTGTCTCCTCCAGTTTACACTGTTTTCAGGAATTTACCATAGCTGTTATCACTTTTGAGATAAAAACCCCTCTGGCTTTTTTCCCCTCCTGGTGCACTGCATGCAGCAGCCTGCCAGAAACAGATCTCTTTGTATTCAACAGCAGGTAGCAAATCCTTTTAGAGAAAGCTCTCAGCACACAGTAATGTTCATCCCTCTCTAGCTACATTACTTGAAACACTAAGAGCTCCAAGATTACTCAATACTGTGAAATTGCCAGCTAACTGTTCAAAAACCATCTCCTAAATCATGTTACAAAAAAATCAGACCTCAGACATGTGCTTATTCTTCCCACCATTCTTTATTCTTCTGTCTCTCACTTTGTCCTCTACTTTGCAGCCAAAATGAGAGACAAATTACCACCAAATCAAAAGACCAACAGAAAACCATCACAATTAACTGATACCTATTAAAATCCTCCTTTCCAAGCTGGGCTGATCAGGGCTGCAAGAAAACATACTGCAGAAGTACAGAGGTCCTGTCCTGACAGCTTCTCCATGTTGTCTTCTCTGGAAAGCTCACTGAACACCACAGGTAAGGTATATGGGTATGACTAGATATAAATAGGCAGCTGTCTCTGCTGAGTATGTGACTTACCAGTTTTCTCTCCTATCACCTGAAGATATATTTCCTTCTCCTTGTTCACATAATAAAAAAATAGTGTGAAAGTGTATTGACATGTAACTTCATCCATTAGTTTAAAACACAAATCACCAGAAGAGGTGTTCAAGAAGGCTCCAACGTATTAGCTAGCAAACTCAGAAATTTAGATAAAATTATTGAATTTACTTTCTAAGGGAGTTTGAAATCAAATTTCTGTGTCTGTTATCATACCTACTTTTTTGTCCCATTTTCAAAGAACAAGCCAAGTAGCCAAATCACACAGTGTGTGTACGTGTGTGCACACACATGCTGAGCACAAAGCACAGACACACCACACCCATGCTGCCCAAGGTTTAAAAATGAAGACCAAAGACAGGATGAAGGGTACTCTAACAGAAGAATCAGATCTGAAGTGTGATTTGGAAACAGAAATTATTACAATTCTCAAGGTCTTACTAATCCTGCTAACACACCCAGTTGGATTCATTAGCACTGGCAGGATCAAATCCCACAGGGCAGCCTGGTGTGATACCAAGGCAATACAAACAGATGGAACATGTAATTGCTACACTGGAACTTTAATCCAACCAGATGGCTCAGCAAGGAATTGCTTTCATGAAAGCTCAGGTACACCAGATAGGGCTCTTTCTATACAATGAGCCTCAAATTCACTACTAAAAATAGTGCAGGGCCCCGTGAATGGGGCTGTACTGACTCTGTAAGGGCTCACCAAAGGTTTCTCACATAGTTCCACACCAGATAGGGCTCTTTCTATACAATGAGCCTCAAATTCACTACTAAAAATAGTGCAGGGCCCCATGAATGGGGCTGTACTCTAAGGGCTCACCAAAGGTTTCTCGCATAGTTCCAAGCCTCTTTTTAAACTTAAACATCCAACAATTTCTTAAGCACAGGTTGCAAAGAACCCCTTTCTTTATTAATACACAAATGGATAACAGGGACTAGAGAAATGAAGCAGAAGCTGCCAAGAGTAGTGTTCTGCGTGGGAGGGAGCTCACTGGTTCTCTGACAGCAGACTTCCTGAGTGCTGCTGAAGCCTTTGGATGGATGGCATTCAGAGCCTGCAACGTGTAGGCAGTTCTGAAAGTGACATTTCTAAACTTCACAGAACACATACACACAAGTGGATTTGAAATGTTGAAAATGTTACCCTATTTCCCAAAATACAAAACAAACAAAATCTTCCTTTATGTTAGCAGGACTAATGTAACTGCACAGCAGGAGGAATATCTATTCTTTAGGGTGGAAGCCAATATTCCTGAGGACTTCTGCTGATCTCCCTCAAGATTTTAGGGTTTGAATTCATGCCAACACATGCTGCTAAGCCAAAGGAGAATAAATTATAATCGATGGCACTGCTGCTCCAAGGCTAAGTTTCATTTAAAAGCTCTCACAAAAGCTAAATAAAGCTGAGCACTGAAAACAGCAGCACAAACACAGAAAGAAAACAGACCAGTACTCTAATGCAAACAAAATGAACAACCTTCCCCCAGATGACAGATCAAATCATATTGCAAAGAACATACTCCATACTGTCGTTTTCTGAGCAAGCAGAAAATATTTGTGATGATCAATGTGTTCTACATGCTGTAATGATTTTTAATCAATTTTTTCCCCAATACAACTTCACGTGTAGGAAAGTGGAATTGTGCTGCCCTCTAGCGCTATCCAGAGGGGACAGTCCCACACAGTGACTCACATCAGAATGGTTTGGGTTGGAAGGAATGTCAAAGATGATCTAGTTCCAACTCCCTGGCCACTGGCAGTGACACCTCCCACTGGACCAGGTTGTGCAAAGCCCCATCCAACCTGGCCTTGAAAACTTCCAGGGCTGGGGCATCCACAACTCCCCTGGGCAACTTGTGCCAGTGTCTCACCACTGTCATGGTGAAGAATTTCTCCAATTTCTAATCTGTATCTACCCTCTTCCCCAGCTTTCTTGTAGGAACCCCCTCAGATACTGTAATGCCACAGTGAAGTCTCCCCAGACTGAATAACCTCAACTATCTCAGCCTGTCCTGCTAGGAGAGGTGTTCCAGCCCTCTGACCATCTTCATGGCCCTCCTCTGCATCTGCTCCAACAAGTCCATGTCCTCCGTGTGTTGGGGGCTCCAGCTACTGAGGTTAAAACACCAAGAGTGAGAGGATCACCTAAAAACTTCAGTATTATCTGTTCTGAAGCACAAACACTACATTCTATCTAAAAAGTCTGCGTGAAAGCATATGGAGAAGAAAGGTTCAACACTCCACTTGAGAAGTGATTTATATCTATTGCTGCTCATGATGCGTGCTAAAGACTTCCCAAAGAAAGCAGAATGTACTCCCAAAGCCTCCCAGGGCACATTGTAACATCTGTTCTGGTATCATCCTAATTTTTTACCGTATTTCACACAGAGCATTTATTCCTACACTAAAAAAAATGGCTAATACAAGCCTTACATTCCTCACCTTCTTGGTATACTTGAAATCTTCTGGAAAAGACCAACCAGGGTGTGGCTCAGCTTACCCACAAAAGGAGACAGAGGAAGGGACTCTAGGCAAAGAAACTGGAATGTGACTAATCAGCCTGGGACAAGATTTGGGAAAGAAAGGCCAAGCCCTGGACAACTCTATTGCATTGCTGCTCATTTGCATATTTAGTTTAGTAGAAGCTCACCAAGACTATGGACTCTGCCTGAAAATATCCCAACAGTGTGTTAGCTGAAGATACTCAAGTTACTATAATGGAAGTCATTACTGACAACTGAAGCCATAGGGTTTCATTTGGTTTGTGTTAGCTAGGAAAAAATAATTTTACAAAAATCATTGTAACTCGACTGTGCCAGGAGGTGGCAGCAATACTAAAGTGAACAGGATCTGCCACTTAAATTTATCACCTTCACATTTGTCTGAAACAATGACAGCTCTTCTGCAACACACAAGGATAAGGCTACTCACATTAATGCCAAAGTCTGGTGATGTGGAACTCCAGATAGCACCAATACTTGCAGCAGCCAGCATTGCTTCCACAGCATGAATGCTGTTTGGGAGGTAACCTATGGCAGAGTTTGAATAGTTAGAGATTAAAAGAAACAAAAAAAAAAATCAAAACTTACAGTTAATACAATGTACACAATTGCCAGCTTAACCACATTAAAAAAAATCGTGCATTGAAGCATCCTTTGAAGTTTTCCACATAATGTCCTCCTTTGAATTCAAATCAGTTACAAAAAGAACTAGAAAGAATTCCACTTTGGAACACATTTGCAGTTGGCAGTAACCCTGTAGATAGAAAAACTGATAAAGTTATTTTAATGTTTCATTATTGAGACTTTCAGGATAAGAGGGCAACACGCTGAGAAGTGGGAGTGGGTACATTTGTGGATTGGATACATAGAGACTAAGAATACAGCACCAGGCAGGGCAATAGAACAGATCCATAGAAACAGCCACGAGAGGAGGAATGAGTATCTGAAAGAAGAGATTGTAAAAAACTCGTTTCAAAAGCAGAAATTCAGCTTTAGACAGCTAAGCCCTGTCCAATAGGCACTGCCAGAATCTTCAACACAAACAGGCAAAACCAGTGTCTCAGCTGATAAGGGTTAGTAATACCGTGGAACAAGCCCTGGAACATTCCCTCACAAATGTAGCTCTTCAGGTTTATGTCATTAGCCTGCAGAAAGCCTTCAAGATCTAAATGCAATTTATCAAGGCATACAGGAGAAATTAACATCAAGAAATTTAGATTTTCAGTGAGCTTAATTTGAGCAACTCTCCATAAAGTGCTGGGTGGCTGAGATTGACTCTCAGCTGATCAGAATCCAACCCACCAAATGAAAACACAACTGTAATTCACAAACTGCACTGAAGTAGATCAAAGATATGGAGTTTCTATCAGATAGATCATCCTTCTTAAGCAAGCAAAAAGATGTCCAAGTACTTAAAAAAAAAAAAGACACACGATGAGCTTAATTGCACTACCTGGACATTTAAATAGAATTCAGTGTTTGAAAGCAAACTTAAATGGCAATAAAAATGCCTTCCAACCTGTTTAACAAAAGTGGTGAGCACTGACAGATCCTGGACTGCAGTGCAAGTTGTGACTGCTCCATGAGTATCTACCAGAGAGCAACAACTCACTTGTGCTAGGTGCTTCTCAACCAAAGAGATATATGGAGGTACTTCTCACTACAGGAGCTAAGACCACAGAGCTTTGTAGTAATTTTGGAAGGCACCAAGTTTTATTTTTGCCAGTTTGTCTACACAGCTTAAAAAAAAAAATCTATTCTACTTTTCAGAATGTTGAAAGATTTTTAGAAGCCTTAATTTAAGATACAAATTACTCCCTAGAACTGCATACACTCCATGGTGTTTTGGCTGGTACAAAGTGTAGCAAAACCTCACACCCATAAAGGCATTATTTATTTTGCAGTTTTTCCTGTAGGTTCAAGGTTTATTGTACAAGGTCCTCAAGTTTTACTGATTTTTTTTTAATTGAAGAGAAATCTTCCCTGAACAACAATTTGACATACATGAGCCAGAACAGATTAAACTGTCATTTTGTGTGATGGAAACAGTTCTAATTGGTGCCAAATATTTCCACTGAGCATTTCTTGGATGGAATTATTGGGAGGCCAAAGCATAATGAAAATAGAAAGATCCCTCTACATGCTTTGGAGCAGTTATTACCTTGCCATAGCTCACAAGCATCAGATTATAAACAAGTTCTCCTTTTCACCACTCCTACAAAAGCCCTCAAGGCAAGAACACAACTCTCTGCTTCTTATTGTGAGCCAGACAATTAAATCATTACTTTCATTTGTCAGTTGGCTTTGAGGTGGTGTTTGAGTTTTAGAAGACATCAGCCAAAACTGCCAAAAGGTACGAAACACAAAAGGCAATTTACTCTGCATTTCTGTATCTCAACCCTATCACTGCAGGCAGCCAGCCTGCTCACTGGGATCTTTGTCTATTTGTCCCACTCCCCAGCACCAGGTACTATGAATAAAAATGTGGTTCTGTTCCAGAAAGAAATCCTCCAAATACAGCAGTCTAAGAATGCCTGTTGCTTTTCTGTCAGCAGCACCCATCTCTAAATGACACAAACTACTTCTGTCAGTCTTTCACATTGAAACTGGATTCTCAGAAAGAAAACTTATTTCTCCCTTTCTCACTTCAGTGATGCTGCAAATGAACAGCAACTGTCACGTACCTAAAACTCCCTGCATTTGACTGTGCCCCTTGAGATAGCAACTGACTCCTCAAAGCTTTCAGAAGGCTGACATGGTTCATAGGCATCTAAAGCTTGGTAAACATCAACAATGTGACAGGGGATGAGAAATCCAACTTTTCTAGCTGGATGCACATCATGGGTCACAGAAGAGGGAGCTATGCACAGAAACTGTCCTAAAGGGGAATAACAGTACAGCTCATTTAAATATTCACCATATGTTCATATATTTAACTAGTCTCCATGTTGCCTGATACAACACTTCAAAGGATCAAAACTAGCATTTTTCAACATATAAAGTCTACAGAAGGAACCTCCCTATCTCTGTCTTAACTTACCCCTTTCTCAAAGCTGGTAAGAAAGGTGGAAACTATCATGTTACCAGAGAGAATTGTCACACCCCCTTTGGGTGAACTACAAAGTGATTGAATAGAGGACTCAAAACACAGGATTTGAGAACCCAGCAACCAGGAACCCAGGGTATGACACATGACATCCCAAGGGTCCTATGAGCACTCCTGGCAATTCAAATATACAAAACCTCTGGATGGATGAAGACATAAACCCTTCACTTTGGCACAAAACCTGTGACAAGCCTCTAAGTAGGACAAGTGATACCTTAAAAACACTGTATGGATTTTAAGAAGCACTTGCTCCTGATTTGCTCAGGACAGCATTTTCTGTCAGTTGCTATTTACTTAAGCTATCATATACTGAGATTAAACTTAGACTTGTTGATTTACACTACAGTACTTTACAATCAGAACAGGTGAAAACTGTAGTCTGAAAGTTTCTAGTATAATTATGCTGGAAATCATATAAAAAGTCTAATTTCTCATAGTGCTGAGGACAGATTTCATGCAAGCATCTAATCCCTTCACTAAGGAAAATAAATGTGTACTCAGAAACAGAGGCATCCAAACATTCACAGTCACCTGAATTTAAAAAAAAAAAAAACTAACCACACTTGGACTCTGCATCTAAGATTTAGTTCCACCCTTGAAAGAAAGCACCAGGAGGAAGGAAAGTAGGAATTCCCAATGGAAGTATCTTCTCAATGGCTTATACTATTGATCTACACCAAGTCTCAAACAGAAGAGAATTCAAAGACCAGACTTCCCACTTCTCTTCCATGTTAACAGAGCATTTCATACTCCTGTAGGACTTTAAAGTGTCATCCTACCTAACATTACTGTGGCCTGAGACTATTAGTAACATGCTAATCTTCTTACAAAGCTAGCTTTAAAGCCCACGTAAGCAACTAGGGCTAATACAGTTACTATAGATAAAATACCAGCTTTAAACAATGTAACTCATTGATGTTTTGTTGAGGATTTTTTTGTGTGAACACATGGGGAAGATTAGTTTTTAACTGTTGACTTGTAATAGAACAAAGCTGGCTACAGGGATATAATAGAAGCAACCTACCAGAGATGAAAAACACAGAAACTCCCAGTTT